AACCCCTGAGATATCTCCCCTAGTCCTTCTTTCTCTTAAACTAGACATACCCAGTTCCTGCAACCGTTCTTCATATGTTTTAGTCTCCAGTCCCCTCATCATCTTTGTTGCTCTTCTCTGCACTCTTTCTAAAGTCTCCACATCTTTTTTACATCGTGGCGCCCAAAACTGAATGCAGTATTCCAAGTGTGGCCTTACCAGGGCATTATAAAGTGGTATTAACCCTTCACGTGATCTTGATTCTATCCTTGAAACTAGTTTCATGTGCTACCTCATAAGGTGGATGGAGTTTTGCTGTTTTGTGGGGCACGGTTACTGGCCTGCCCCGGACTGGTGCCAGTTCATAGACCGAGGGTTGAGAACTTCTGATTTAAGAAATGCAGTTTCCCCACCAGGGGTTGAACAGAAGCGCATGTGCATGATGAAACATCTGCTGGTCTGAGTTTGCTAAGCGTGGCATAGACAAGGTGTGGCTTTAAAGAATGAGCTTTTAAAAGCTTTTGTTCCTTGCTTGTGTTCCCCCTTTTCCCCCCCTTTGGTCTTGGGCACATTTTAATGCATAACAACAGACCTGTTCCTTTAATATTTCCTCATTTTTTTTAAAAGGATAATATCCTAAGTCAGTGTTGTCGAACCAATGGTACGCGTGCCAGAGGTGGCATGCAGGGCCCTCTCAGTGGGCACGTGTGCCGTTGACAGCTGCTCTTCTGTTTTCCGATGCGCTGGTCTTTGTGCACCGGAAAATGGCCTTAAAACGGCCCAAAAAACCCAGCCAAAAATGCTCCAAAACCACGTGTTTTTGAGGGGGCGTTTTCAGGCAATTATTCGGGTCATTTTTCAGCCCAGAAATGGCTTGAAAACAGCCTGAAAAGTGGCCAAAAAAACAGGCCCATGTGCACCAGCATACACATGCGCCTGCGTTTCGGTTTGGCCACTTGGTGTCAAAAAGGTTCACCATCGTTGCCCTAAGTGGAAAATGAGGAGGGCCTGATTTGTCAGTGGGAAAAGATTTCCTCTGTCCCTCTATTAGAGTGAAGGCTTCATTGTTGTTACCCCTTCCACAAGTGCCTTCTTTGTGTGGATTTAAGATGGATGCCCTTCCCTGGAAACGAGAAAACAATTAGGATGCTGAGCAGATTCACAGTCTCAAAAAAGCTTCCCCAAGCTGTAAACTCACAATCTCTATCCAGCCCGACATCAATTCCTGGGATTTGAAGTCTAACCTTAGTCATCCTTGATTCAGCCTGCAGAGTCTTCTTAGGACTAGACTGGCTATATAGTGAGAGGCAGATACTTCCCATTTTCAACTGTTCAAAGCTGTGTATGTAACCCTGTACTCATTAACCTGGGAGTCAGCTCCAATGAAAGCAGTAGGACTCGAGACACGTGGAGGTGTGTTGTTGGCAGATCCACCCCAACGTCTAAAAGGAATTGATTTATAAATGGCTCAAGAGTGAATCACCAAGTCTAGTAGTATTCTGACCTAGGCTTCCCCAGCGGCACAAAGCCGAGTCCTCGTCCTGATAACCCCTTTTATTTAATTTACAGTGAATTCCTCTCCAGCAAAGTCTTTCTTCTCCCACCGTCTTTCAAGATGGTTCACAATTACCGAGCTTTATCAGGCTTGGAAAGTGGCCAGGCCGATATCTTTCAGACGCCGCAATACTTGGCAAGAATGCAGGAATGAACTAATTGTCTCCTGCAAACTCCACTCCCCATTCGCTCCTCTTTTATTCCCTCTGAGAGGGGCCATTCACCATCCACCTGTGGCTTTATTCCCAAAGTCAACCCGTGTTCCTTAGCTGTTTCCTTCGTCTGGCAACTCCGCGCATGCGCACACTGGGAACAGGCTCCAGCTGTTCATCTGCCTCACTGCTGTCTGACTCTGAAGGCATGACCTAAACTCCTTTCCTACCAAAAATAGGGTCATGTCATGGTTGCTTATTAGCTAGCGACCTCTTAAATAATACTTAAGATAATATTAGTTCTAAGCAAAAACCTTATGTTCTTGATGTCCTCTATAGCTATTAATATAGCCATTTTAATCATTAACAACAATGAATGGAAACTAATCAAGGAGAGAAGGAACTTGCAGTTGTGGAGAAACATCCTTAACAGTAAGGACAATTAATCAGTGGAACAGCTTTGCCTTCAGAAGTTGTAGATGCTTCCTCACTGGAGGATTTTAAGAAGAGCACATTCCTTTTTAGCGCACCCTCCTTCCCATCTCCATTTCAGTAATAAGAAATAGAAGTCACCCATTCCATTGTGCATATTACAGCAAACCGTAATTTCATTAACTCTTGTTTTTTATTGAGTTACTGTACAATTAAATGGTTCCCACTAGGTCTGAGCCATCAACCGAGCTTTCTAATCTCCAGTGGCTGAGTTTGCACAACATGTTAAACCACAAATAAGGAATCCTCATTCTGGCTGAGAGCATTATGTACATTCATTGCATATTGGATGGTGCGATTGTGGTTTTTGTGTTGTTTACTGCATCTCCAAGTACAAAGCTTAAAAAAAAAAGAAATACCGAATAATCGTTTGTAATATATAGTTTAAAATATCTCCTAAGTTGTTTTTTTTATTTTACCTGCAGAGTATCATTATTTACAAGACCAAGCCAGTTTCCTGCAAGGTGAATTATGTTGTAAAAATAAATGAAACACAACAAAAGGCTCTAACAAATTTGAATCTAGCATTGCATGCAATCGCTCTTTCAAATTCCGAATGATTTAAAATTTAGTAAATTTAAAACAAAATTTAACCTCCAATGGCATTTTTAAAATGAAAATGACCATAAAATAAAGTAACTAACCTGGGTTTTCCAATCAAGATTCTGATCAGTTGTTAAAACAGATTATGAAGTTCTTAATAATCTTTCTGCAAAAGATTCATATCCTGTCTATAGTGAGTAAATCAGCTATTGTACAAGCAAGAAAATTCAAACTACATGTTATGACCAAAGAGACAGAAATGCAATCTTTAGATCTTTAGTACCCCTAGCCTGGAAAATATATGTGACATTTAAAAAAAAAATAGCAATTGTGCTGCCCAAGATGGAATTATTTGGGTAATTTATGCAAATAAAGAGTTTTGCAGAAATTATTTAAGATGGGTAGTCCTTGACTTACAACCACAATTGGGATCAGAATTTCCTTTGCTCTATGCACGGCGATTGTTAAATGAGTCATGTCAAAATTTTACAACCTTTGTTTGTCACGGTGGTTAAGTGAAGCCCTGCAGTTGTTAAGTAAACGACATGGTCGTTAAGCAAGTCTGGCTTCCTCCATTGACTTTGCGTGCTGGAAGCCATCTGGGAGGGTCGCAAATGGCGATCACATGACCCCGAGATGCTGCAAACGTCATAAATGCATCCCCTTTGCCAAGCAGGAGAATTCTGATCATGTGGCCATGGGGATGCTGCGACGGTCGTATGTCACTTTTTTTCAGTGCCGTTGTAACTTCAAACGGTCACTAAAGGAACGGTTGTAAGTCGAGGACTACATATAGTTCCTTTCTCAAGTAGACACTCCCCCCCCCCCCAAGATAAAGAAGCAAAAAAATCATGAAAATTCTCATCTGGGGCCAACTCATTCCACCGCTTGTAGATAATAATGATAATAGCAATAATGCCCAGGCTGGAATAACCTCCAAAGAGATCCAAAATTGTCATAGAGCAGGGGTGTCAAACTCAATTTCCTTGAAGGCCGCATCAGGGTTGTGTTTGACCTTGGCGGGGTGGCCAGAGGGGGTGTGGACAGCCCGACATCACTCTTGTTGGCGCCTGTGGTGGCCCGAGCGCTCTGCCAGTGAAATTGGGCTCCCGAGCTCCGTTTTCGGCTGCTGCAGCCTCCTGCAACCCTCTACCAGTGAAAACACATACGGCCCTCCCGACCTCCATTTTCACTGGCAGAAGGTTGCAGGAGGCTGTAGCAGCCGAAAACGGGGCTCCAGGGCCCATTTTCACTGGCTGAAGCACCGTGAGCTGGTTCTTTGCTATCTCCCGGGAGGCCCCGTGGGCCAGAAATAAGTACCCTGCGAGCCAGATCTGGCCCCCGGGCCTTGAGTTTGAGATCCCTGTCATAGAGAAAGGGCTGTCCCCATCTCCCTATGTTTGGGGTACCAAGACAAAATTTTGGAGCCAGGTAATTGTGTTTGCAGAACATAACTTATATAGCCAGCTCTTAGATTTCAAAGAGAAGCAGGAAGCACAGCCAAAGTGGCTTTCCAATTTCTAAGAAGCAAAAAAAGCTTCTCCTCTCATTATATTGCGAAAAACAATAAATCAGGGAGCTTAAAAGATGCAACTGCCAGGAATTATAATTTGTATATTCCGAGTCCCCTCATTTGCCAGGCAAGGCTCCATCTGCTGGAGGGAAAAATTCAGTTTCACCTATTCCATGGCAGTTTTGGCACCCTTTTACAAATTATTGAGATTCTGTTATATTCTGTTGGTTAGTTCAGGGGTCGGCAACCTTAAACACTCAAAGAGCCACCAAGTTCCTAACCGGAAGCCCCCCGTTCAATTCTGGAGCCAACCGGAAGTCCCGTTCCCCCACCATAGAGTCTCCTCCTAGTGCGGCATCCTTTTTCCTCTACCTGTCCTAACCGAAAGCCCTATCAATTGTGGAGCCGACCGGAAAACCCGCCCCTTGCCATAGAGTTTCTTCCGGGTGTGCTGTGCTTTCCTCCCCTCCCAACCGGAAGCTCCTCTCAAAATTGTGCTGGCCAGCGACAGGGAGCCACAGCAGAGGGATGAAAGAGCCACATGCGGCTTCAGAGCCACGGGTTTGCTGGCCCCCTGGACTAGTTGATGAAAGGAATGCAGAACGCTGAATCATTGGTCAGTTTAAATCCAGCAAGTGGCCAATCCCTTCATTTTGACCAAAAGCTGGTCATGTTCTCTTCCTTAGTGCTTTTTAGACATTCCCCTCATTCTTAAAAGCAAGAAAAACGAAGCTGAAATTCTTACAAAGCGGAATGGATGCTTCTTATGCCGAGTAGCTCTTGGAGACCTAGACGTGAACTGAATTGATGGTTTGTGTTGCTAAAAGCAGGGGTGGGTTTCAACCGTTTCGCGGCGGTCCCTGCGATCCAGTTGGTCGCCGAACCCGGAAGTAAGTAACTTCCGGGAACGGCGAAGGCCCAGGCCCGCGCCCGCGCCCGCTCCTTACCCGGTTTTGATGAATTCTGCGCTTCCACGCATGCGCAGGATGCATACAGCGC